TCAAAAGGCCCACCATCAGATAAAGATGCACAGCCGCCAAACCTCCACCAACATCAAGCACGTGGGAAACACTGTGCACAATTCCCTGCTTCTCAACTCCGTGTGTGGTTCTGAGTTCCAAAGGAGAAGCCGCTCCTCACACCCCGGGCCGGCGGCGTCCAGAGACTCCCTGATACCCGGGTCCTCGCAGTGCTGAGCCAAACACATCCTGACATGTAGGGCTCGGTGCATGCACCCTCTCTGGGCCGTGTCCTCACGCAGAAATGCACCTGCCCTGCAGTCCGCCTCTCAGGAAGCATGGACCATCCGTATCAGAAGGCAGATCTGATGCAAGTTGCTTCCTTTATTGAAAACCAGCCTAATCCTGCGAGTCAAACCCCAGCTCCCAGAAGACCGTTCAGGACAATTTATAAAAAAGCAAACCCCATCATGATTTGTAAACACACTCGGTGCAAGAGCCCAAGCAACATGAGCAAGTGCCACTGCTTTGCATGGAAGGTCTAGTCTGGAATGCGGACAGCCAGTCTCCGGACTCACTGTTACTCTCTGGGGTAGACGCTTGGCTATGCACACTCGGCGCTGGGGGCGGTGCACGACCCTCTAACACACACTTTCCTCAGAGGAAAATGTCTGAGCAGAAATCATTTCTGATTTGTCTGTGGTCACGGACACCTGGTGTCACCAGATGCTTCCTCCCCGCCAGGGCTCCTCACAGTTTGGGAAATCTCAGTACTAGGGACACAAAAAGGCCCCTGGGGACATGTGACGCCTGAGCGCAGCCCAGCCCCTGGCACATGGGATGGACGCAAGCAGGATGAGGCCAGGCATGGGTCAGACTTGGAGCAGTAACTCCTGCACTCAGATTAGTCTATGAAATGAGCCACGTTTCAGATCTCAGTGCTTTGACTTTAAAATCTGAGCATAGAGCCATAAAGACTCAAATTATTTATCTTCTCCAAGAACACACGAGTACTTGAGTTCCTTTCTCCTTTTCGTGGCTAATAATAGACACTCACAACATCACATCAAAAGGAGAAATAAGGGCCACATCCTGCACACACATCCTGGGAAAAGCACCGGAGAGGTCGAACAGAAACCTCCCCAGCCTCCACCCACCCGCCTGTCGGCATTGACTGACGGAGCTGCAATCGTCAGGCTCACCTTTCAAGCTACAAGTCAGGACTTACTGCAAAGCACCTTCTCTAAGTGTCAGCTGTGAACTCCGTGAAACCAGAAAGAAGCTGCACAAGAGGTAAAGATGTCTAAGTCTCTAAAAAGCTGCTCAAAGCTCAGACCTCTCATACCACGTCCTTGTGTGGCAAAGCAGTACACAGGCGGCCCTCCCCAGCCCCCACCCCACCTCCTGCACACATGGTCCTCCCCAGCCCCCAGGCCCTGGTGCTCACCCCTGACAGCCCTGCAGGGCTCTGGGCTCAGGTGAGAGCAGGGCACCGGAGTGGGGAGCAGACCTCATGTAGGACTGCACTCCCAGGAGCCCTGGAGACTCTGGGGCCCTCGGGGCTGTCACCTCCCTCACCACCTCCTCTG